TGCTCTTGAGTAGCAGGATTGGCAGGAACACGCCACTCATTGGTCCTGCGCCAATTTTATTGGTATTTTTAGTTAGGAGATGGGTTTTGCAACATGTGGCTGTGCTGGTCCGAACTCCTGATTGTGTTGATTGCTTCTTGGCTTCCAAGATGTGGGTAAAACAGGCATGAGCAACCACGGCACTGGCCGAGAACTTTATTTTCTGTCTTCAGACAGTAACAAGCCACAAGGGGTGTAAAAGGCGGGGTCACAAATTTTTTGTTATATCTTAATCCAAAGAACAATAATTCCTATTTTCTCTAAAATCGTGTATTTGACCAATAGTATAATGAAATAGAAGACGGAGAAATTACTAATCTATATGTCCTACCTCCTCTCAGATTGCCAAAGACAGCTTGGTCACTAAAAATGCACAATGCGTCAGGCATGGTGGCTCGAAGCTGTAACCCAGGCACTTTGGGCGGCTTGAGGTGGAGGAGACACCTTGAGGTCAGAGAGTTGGAGAGCCAGCCGGGCCAACACGTGGGAAAACGTGTCTACTACCGTTTGAAAAGATGTAGCCAGCCATTGGTGGGCACACACCTGTAATCCTAGCTGTAGGAGGCTGAGCAGAATTGCTTGAACCCGCAGGAGGCAGAGGATGCAGTGAGTTGAGATTGAGCCACTGCCGCACTCCACTCCTGGGGAACTGAGCCAGGTGTCTCAGGAATTAATAAACTAAAAATTAATTAAAACCCGGCGCACCCCCCGACCGGTGGCTCATACGCCGTGGTTTTAATCCCAGCCTTATGGGAGGCCGGGACGGGTGCGATCGCAAGGTCAGGAGAGATCGAGCCATCCTGACTGAACGCAGTGACAACGCCGTCTCTACTAAAATTCAACAAAAACCTCGGCGGGCGAACAGGCAGGGGCGCCTCGTAATCCGCTACTACTTGGAGGGCTGAGGCAGGGAATGGTGTCACACCGGGCGCGGGAGTTGCCAGTGAGTGAGATCCTGGCCACTTGCACTCAGCCCTCGGAGCGGACACGAGCGAGGACCCGTCTCAAAAAAATAAAAAAAAAAATAAAAAAAAAAAAATTAAAATTAATTTAAAAAGAACTACACGGTGGCCTTAATAATTTCTTAATCATAATTCGTATTTCCCCAATTACCAAATTATACTCCCAAGAGTGTTTTTTTTAGAATGGGAGTCTCGCTTTCTATTGCCCAGGCTGGGCAGTGCCAATCGGCGCATCTCAGCTCACCCATGCAAAACCTCCGGTCCTCCAGGGTTCCAAGCCGCCCTGCTCCTGTCTCAGACCGCCTAGTAGGCTGGGACCTACCAGGCATGTCGCCCACCGCGATGCTTGGCTATTTTTTGTACTTTGTTAGTAGCAGATGGTTTTGCCACGTTAGTCCAGGCTGGTTCCAACTCCTGACCTTCAGGTGCACTCCCCCCTCGGACTACAACCTCGACGTCCCAGCTCTGACGAACCTGTAGTTCCAGCGACTCGGGAGGCTGAGGCAGGAGAACTGCTTGAACCCGGGAGGCAGTGATCTTGCAGTGAGCCAAGATCACGCCACTGCACTCCAGCCTGGTGAAAGAGTGAGACTGTGTCTCAAAAAAGAAAAAAAAAAAAGCATTTCTTATAAGTAGGATAATTTAATGTTCATACTGTATGAGGACTGTACTAAGAAAGGATTATGTAGTGAACACAGCCCAACCATGGTTTAACTTAGAAAATAAGGAATATTTGTTCCAAGACAGGCCTCAGATAACACCCTGTGCCTGTTTGAAGATTAGGTTGTGTCAGTCAAATAGTGTAGGAATCCCTAGTGTCCCTGAGACCCTTTCAGGAAGTCAGCAAAGTTAAAATGATTTTCAAAAAAATACCAAGACATTATCTGCCCCTTTCACTCTTATTCTCCCAGGAGTGTAGAGCGAAATTGCTAATACTGCAACAGGTTCAATGCTGAGGCACTTATGAGAATCTGGCTATCCTCTATTAAGCCAGATATTAAAATCAATTTGCAAAAATCTCATCAAAGTCTGTGTTTAGGCAAGTGATTAGAGCACAACAATCCCTTTTCTTTTCAGTCTCTTTGTACCTCTAATCTTAAGTATACTCCCAGTTAAAAAAATTTATCAAATACTTGTCAGGAGGAACAAACAAAATATTGCATGTAAAGTTTCTTAAAGATACTCTGTTAAAACAGGATTTTCAAAGAAATAAAAAAATCAAGAAAAAAAAAATCCACACACTCACCCAAGTTTTAATATAAAAATGAATTGAACAATGTGAACAGCTTTTAGGAGATCATATGATTCGAAAAGTCCGACAGCCTTCAAAAATTTAGTGAAACATAATAACACAATGTATTTTGTTAATCTGAAAAATAAAAGCAGAAACAATTTTTAGTATCATTGAAATTACAAGGAACTCATCAATCTGGTTTTTTAAACAAGAGGTCATTATAGAAACCACAGAAATATACATAAACAAAATGAAACAAAACCAAGTCCCCAAACAACTCACCATCCACATGATAATTACTGTTGACTTTTTTTTTTAAATCATAGAGACGGGGTCTCAATGTGTTGCCCAGGCTGGTCTTGAACTTCTTGGGTCAAGCAATCCTCCAGCTTTGGTCTCCCAAAGTGCTGGGATTACAGGTGTCAGCCACCGCGCCCAACCTGCTGTTAACATTTTGAGGCCAGGTGCAGTAGCTTGAGACCAGCCTGGGCAACATGGCAAAAGCCTATCTCTACAAAAAATACTAAGAATTAGCCAGGCATTATGGCGCGTGGCAGCAGTCTCAGCTCCTCGGGAGGATCACCTGAGCCTGGAAAGCTGAGGTTGCAGTGAGCTGTGATCGTGTCACTGCACTCCAGCCTGGGCAACAGAGTGAGACCCTGTCTCAAAGTACAAACAAACAGGCTGGGTGCTCATGCCTGTAATCCCAGCACTTTGGGAGGCCTAAGTGAGTGGATCACGTGAAGTCTGGAACTCAAGACCAGCCTGGCCAACATGGTGAAAACTCACCTCTACTAAAATACAAAAATTAGTCGGGCGTGGTGGCAGGTGCCTGTAATCCCAGCCATTTGGGAGGCTGAGACAAGAGAATCGCTTGAACCCGGGAGGCAGAGGTTGCAGTGAGTCAAAACTGCACCACTGCACTTCAGCCTAGATAACAGAGTGAGACTCTGTCTCAAAACAAAAACCAACCAACCACAACATTTTGGGTTTCTTTTCAATGTATATGAATGATTATGTACAGCTACAGTCTACTTCAACAAAAAATGCCCAACGAAAAATGAAAATTTTCTTGATCAAGTTGCTGGACTATTTTGTTATCTGCTTTCTAACTTAATAACTCCTCCAAACAAATAAGGAGAACGAAATAAAAACTAAATTCTGTTATGAAATGAAAAGACCACAATAAAGGAAGAAACGGAAGAATGGTAAATGCCTTTGGTTCGCGCCTCCTCTGCCTTGTTAAGTGACTACAGTGAGAGTTGTGGTTGAAAGGTCAATTGACTGGACCTAGAGTCCTAAAAAGGCTCAGGAATTGGAAACACCTCAGGAGGGGAATGAGAAGCTGAAAAGAAGAGGATCTCTAGGAAGTCTTCCAAGTAATCAGATTCCCAGGTTCCTGCCCAGCCGGCAGGCAACTCTCTCTCCTCAACCACTATTAGGAGTCACGAGTCATAGCCTCTGGCAAGGTCACTTAAATTTCCTGAAGTAGACAACTCTGCTGGCTTTATAAGAGAATGTCCATGTTTTTAAGAAAAACAAGTATTTAAGGATAAAGAAGCATGAAGTATGTAACTTACTTTCAAATAGTCCAGGGGAAAAAAATACCTGTGTGTGTGCATTTAGAGAGAGAGAGAGAGAATAAATCACATGGGACGATACATTAACAATTACAGAGTCCAGGCAAAGAATATACTACTCTTGTGACTTTTACATAAACTGGAAATTATTTTTAAATGAGTAGTTTAAAAGTGTTATTTATTCAAGGGTGTATTGTCTCAGGTAGGGAAATGTGGTAAACAATCCTTTGCTATTTTATTTGTACTATTTACTTACCAGAGTTACCCTTCTATTATAGTTTATTGCAGAATCAATCAAATTCAACTCAGGACTGGTTGAATTTTGATGGATTCCAGGTTGCAAGAGTTTTACTTTATATAGACCAAAAATCAAATACTAGTTATAATCTGCAACAAAAACTAGTTGACAAGTCCTTTAATTGTGGGTATTTTCATGCCCAAATTTACAAATATGTATTATTTTAAACAAAGGTTTATTTTGCTTTAAGTCCTCTTTGTGGGGAAGGGCACAGGGTCACAGCTAACATTTGTTGGGCACCTGCTATGTTCCAAGTGCTTTGAATACATCATTTCATTTAATTCTTACAACAGTCCTACAAACCAGAAGTCAGAAGTAGTTGCCCAAGGTCCACACAACTAATAAATGGAGCCTGGTAGTTGAGTTGTTTAAAACCCATATATAGTGCCTTCAACATATAGATACTTGAGTATTTATTGAATGAATTGAACCTTGAATTACACCACTGATTTTTATTTTTTAGCCAGAGAACTGTTGAGCTACTGCCAGTAGGAAAGCCCAAGAGCCAGGTTTGAACCTAAATCCAAATTTCAGTAATTTCAGGTTTTAGAAAACCAGGGAATTATCTTCAATCTCACCTCACTGCAACTTCTGCCGCTGGGTTCAAGTGATTCTCCTGCCTCAGCCTCCTGAGCAGCTGGGATTCACGGTGCCTGCCACTATGTCAGGCTAATTTTTGTATTTTTTAGTAGAGACAGGTTTTTCGCCATGTTGGTTGGCCAGGCTGGTCTCCGTACTTCTGACCTCAGTGATCACCTGCCCTTGGCTCCCAAAGTTGCTAGGATACAGGCCGTGCACAGACCAACGTGATTTTAAACAGA